AGAAGACATGCCTGCCTGCGTTCGTCCGATGCGTAGGTCATACACCTACACGCGAGGAGAGCATGCACAGGGGTCGCAGGGGCAAAGGATAGTCAGACTACAAATGAAGTGGGTTAATACCGATACACACACCCTACTGACGTTCAGGAACTTAACATTCCGGACTGCATAGTCAGAAATTGCTTAGTTGGTTGCTGATCAGGACACGCAAAATGTTTGTTCTCTGAGAACAAGCTCTTAGTGGCAGTCGGTCACGAGGACTTCTGATACCAGCTGACCAGCTCGGTCAATGGTAGCAAACAATCGCTGGAAACTAATGCTCCAGAAGCACAGTTCCACGTTACACCTCAATCAAGGGGTGTCCCCTTAAGTGCTGGACTGAACTGTGTGTCGGGTTGAGTGCGCCCTTACTCAACAATACCCCCACGTCGTGGTGATACTAATTTAATTATTCTGTGTTTATCGCTGGACACGAGCGTGGGTTATGTTTCTCAGATCCGCTGCCACAGATCATAACGCACGGAGAGTTAGAATCCACAACATCATCGAGGCCGGCTAGATCAGACAAAAACATAGACATATCAAGTAAGGGTACAAGTAGTAATAATAGTAGACGTGGTAGTGGCAGCAGTAATGGTAGTAGTAGTAGTAGTAGTAGTAGTAGTAGTAGTAGTAGTAGTAGTAGTAGTAGTAGTAGAAGTAGTAGTAGTAGTAGCAGTAGTAGTAGTAGTAGTAGTAGTAGTAGAAGTAGTAGTAGCAGTAGTAGTAGTAGTAGTAGCAGTAGTAGTAGTAGTAGTAGTAGTAGCAGTAGGAAAAAACAGGTAGCGACGGTATATGAGCTTGTGTTCATTATGTCGTTGACATGCAGGTAACACAAACTGACAGTTCGACAGTCACGAACGACGACGTCCAAAGTGCGTTCCCTAGCGTGGCGGGCGCAGAGACGGTGACCTGTTCGTGGATTATTTTATTGTGACAGTAGACTTGCGCGGCACCCACCGCATTCTCTCCTCCCTCACGCCCACCTGAGCCAGGTACCAATACAGAGTCAAGAAGACCAGAGGCGGAGTTGAGCCATACTACACAACTACACTTAAAATCACCAGGAAAGGAGGGCATAAGAAGGGCAAATGATAAGAGATGATTGGGAAATTATATCAATAAGGGGAATACAGTCCAAACGTCAGGTCAAAAAGGATCCCGCCGCAGGAGAGGGGGGACTTACGTTTGCAAGACGGTCCATACGGAGGGAAGAGTCAGCCATCCGGGACCAGCCACAGGTGACCAGGGTGTAGCCATTGTTCATCACTGACATATCCGATATCTCGCCAGTGTGTGCGTCTATTTGGCGGACCACACCAAGGGCTGAACGCGGATCAATAATTTTCACCTAACAGAGTGAAAAGGAGAGCTGTGAGACAGTGACAAGCAGATACTGAGGAACGCGGTAAAAGTGAGCGAAGTGCACAATAGTAGTGTGAGGAGGAGGGGGAGGAGGAGGAGGAGGAGGAGGAGGAGGAGGAGGGACGTGAACGGAGTGAAGTGCGCGGACGGCTGATAGCAGAAA